GCCTTATCCTCTCACAGGAAAGTGAGAATACCTGGCAGTCCTAATTCAGTCCTCAAATGATCCCTGGTACTTGACAAGCCCATGAAATCCAAGTCTGGAAACGAGATCGGTCCTGTTCCAGAGTTCTGAGACCCCGGGAGGCAAAGCCCATCTCACGGGTGTGGAGGAGAGTCCCGGGGCCAGCAGGGCGGTCTGAGCAGCTCCAAGGGCTCAGGCAGGTGGTGTCCCAGGGACTTGGCACACTGGCAGCACAGGCCCTTTGGCCACCATCCCAGACCTGTGTCCCCTCCTCCTCTCCTGACCTGCTGTAGCCCATGGCCAGTGACAGTGACAAAGGTGTTTCCAATCTCATTCCCAAGACACGGTTCCCTTCCCACGGTGGGATGGATCCCCTCTGGTTCCCTAGCTGCCTCTGTTGTGTAAACAGAAGCAGAAACCTGACAAAGCTGCTGTCGGTGGCTAAGAACTTTGCTGTGACTGGGGCGGCTGCCAGGGCTCCAGACCCCAGTCTGATCCTTGCTGTGCCCTCCCCGCCCACTGCCTCAGGGGAGCCCCATCCTACCTCCCCCAAAGCCTGAGGCTACTCCAGCCGGTCAGATAATGACCTTCTTCTTTCCAACACCGGTGGAAATCTGATAAAAGCAACAGGTTCTCTATCCAAAAACAACAACACAACCCCCCACACACAAGGTTTCTGACATGGCCTGTGATTCCTGCTTGGAGTGACGCTACCCCAAGATCCCTGGATGGAAAGCCCCAGTCCTGCAGGTGTCACCCGGGCATGCAGGGGGTCTTCCTCCTGCCCGACCTCAGCATGCACTTTTACTTTTTCTCTGGAAAGAACCGTGGACATACAGAGGCACTGCAGGAGTGATGCTGACTCCGTTTCCCCTCCCAGACCTCCCGCAAGGCTAAGAACCCACAGATCCAGCTGCATCCATTGAAGCAGAGATCCCTGGGTGTTAATTCCAGACTTCACCCTGATTTCACCTATTTTCCACCTGTTCAGGGTCCCCTCCTAGGTGTGTCTGCCTGGCCCTTGCCCCTTGTGCCCTCGAGACCAGGAGGAGATGGGTCAGGCCTCTGGGGTTTGCCTGACATTCCTTGACTCTGCTGGGAAGGCCTCCATGGGTGTCCTGGAGCACCTGCTCGAGGCACCTGCTGCCTGCCCACTGTGGGGCCCGCCGGCTAGGTGGGCCAGGCAGGGCATCTGCTATGCCAGGTCTCAGCTTCCCAAGCTGCGTGGAGGCCGTGTCTTCCACTTCCAAATGGACTTTCTTTGCCAGCACAACCCATCTCACACTTTTCTGGCCACAGGTCTTGTGGCGTTTCCTCAGACGCTTCTTCTCCTTCAGAGCAAGTTGAAGGCTACATGGTGTCCTCAGCCTTCGGACCTGGTGTGTGATGAGCCCCTTCTGCTCAGGGCAGGAGGGGAGATTGGGGCCCACAGGGGAGCCAACTGGGGCAAGCTGTGAGCAGGGCTGGACTGAGTTCTTCCTCCCAAGTTGAAGGCCTCCCCCACCACCCCAATCACGCCCTTCCCCTCGAGTGTGTCTGGCGGCCTGGCCTGTCTGCCTGAGCCTGATAAGCAGCAAGCCCTTGTTCAGGTAAGGGGCAAGGCCCCAGGCTCGCTGGCTCTCCCCCAATGTCACAGGAGGGTGGTGGGTGGTGGCCGGGGCATTCTTCCCCCAGGAGGAGTGGTTCTGGCCACCAGGGGCCTCAGGCAGCTTGAAGCAGCACTGGGCTGTGTGCACTGGGCTCCCCGAGTGCCTAGAACACCGGCTGCAGGAGAGGCCCCAGGCCAGCGCCAGCAGGGAGCCCCGTCTGGCTCCAAGGAGGAAGACAAAATAAAGGTGTGGCTCTGCTGGAGGGGAGGGACAGCAGGACAAGGTGCCTGGGTCCAGGCCACGCTGGCATTTATGCACAGAGACCTCAGACCTGCAGAAGGCAGCTCCGGGCCTGAGAACTGATGGGCTGTGGTACAGAGGAGAGTGAGGCAGAGCATCCAACATCTGGGGGAGCAGCTGTCTGCTGGCCTTCGGGGAAGGGACAGTGAAGGTTGCTGAGTGGGGAGGGGTGGAGAGCCAGCCCCACAGGCTCAGATCCTGCTGGGCCTCCCTGTCCCAACCCAGGGCTCCTGGAAACGCAGAATGAACAAGACACAGTCCCCACCTCAGGGAGCTTCCAGGCCAAGGAGGGGACTAATCAGGAGAGGGCACAGGTGAGAGCTTCCCCGGCCAGGCAGTGACCACACTTGGACAGCATGGCCAGACCCCAGCTGAAGAGCACACGGAGGAAACGGCAGGTGCACATGACCAGAGGAGAAACTGGAAGTCTCCCTAGGGGAGTGACAAAGGCTGACTGTGGCTGGAGGCCAGGGAGCAGCTGCCAGAGCTGGGGGGGCAGCAGGTGGGGGGGGGTCTATGCACAGGTCAGGCAAGGACACAGCCCCAGGAGCTCAGAGGGACCAGGCAAGACGCACTGGGCATGAAGCAAAGGGCTGTGCCCTCAGCCTTGTGTGATGTGTATGTGCACGTGTGCTTGCGTGTGTGCATAAGTCTGTGCATGCGTGCTTGCATGTGTGTGTTTGTGCATGCGTGCATGTGTTCTGCATATACATGTTTGTGTGCACATGTGTTACATGTGTTTGCATGTCTCTGTGTGTGTTTGCGTGTGTCCACATGTGTGTACGCATGTGTGCATTGCATGTGTGCAAACGTGTGTTGTGTGCATGTGTGCCCATGTGTTTGTGTGTGCGTTCATGCTCGTGCATGCACTGTGCCTGTGTGTTTGAGACGTATGACACACACATGTACATGGGGGAAAGCTGGAGGCAGGTGTGCAGGTCACATCCAGGAGCCTGTGATGGTACAGGTGACAGACGCTGAGGGCTGGACTCAAGGGCAGGGGAGGGGAGGAGGAAGGGGACAGTACTTGTGCGTTTTTCAGTGACAGGTATGTCGGCTCTTGGATGAGTCTGAGTGTGTGCTGCTGGCTGGAACTGTCTCGCCATTCCTCTGCCTCTACCTGCCTGGTGTCGGTGGTGAGCGAGCTTGAGGAAGCCAGGGGAATAGCCCACAGCCTCTGCTGGCAGCCTCTGCTCACTCCCCAAGATGAAGCCCACCTGCCCATCCCCCAGCCAAGACCAAAGCCACCAGGTGCTGATGTGGGCGGGGACACAATGGCACCCCACAATGGGAGCCACTGGGGGCCCCAGCACCATCCAGGCCTGCTGCCCGGGAGGGACGTGAGGACACAGCAGGGCACCCAGCCCATGCCCAGCATGGAAGGCCTGGAGGGGCCCATCCTCACACCTGTCCTGCTCCCTTCTCCCTCCTGCCGGCGCAGGAGAGGTGGGATGCAGGTCCCCATCAGGACAGCAGCAGAGATGCCCACAGGTGCACCGGACACCGGACACCAAGCCCAGGTTCAGCCCCAGGCCTGCTGAACTCCAGAGCCCGTGGCTTTTTATCTAGATTTTTAAATTCCTGCTCGCCAGCAGGTAAGCTCCCTGAGGCTTCCATGTTCCCTTCTGCAGAACTTGGCAAAGAGTGCATGTGCATATGGAGGAGTGAGGGAGGCCCATCTGCTCACGCAGGGTAACCCCATCCTCACCTTCCCCCCAGAGGGGGTCATTGCTGGGTCCCCTCCCTGGAAGGCTCACGCAGACCCAGGACGCACATGCACTCGTGTAGTCAGGGGAAGCCCAGCTGCAGACGTAGCCTCAGCAGAGCCCCCACAGCCTCCCCAGTGCCCCCTAGGCCTCTGTCTGCTCCTGGTCAGCCTCACCAGCTCCTGCTTCCCAAGCCCCACCCCTCCTGCATTGCCCTTCTGCAAAACCATGTCCCCACACTCAGTTTCCCCTCATGTGGAGGGAGGAGGCTGCATCTGGGGGCCCCAGCAGCCTCCAGACCAGCCCCCAGGGTCGGCAGCAGCCTGGATGCTACAGCCCTCAACATCTCCTGGTCCAGGAGCATGGGACCAGCATGGGGAAAAGGGTCCAGTGGAAGCACTGACCTCGAGGAGGTTCCAGAAAAAGTGGCCCTTCAGCTGGACCATGCAGGTCCCTGGAATTAGGGGTGGAAGATGGGAAACTGTGTGGGCAGAATGAGAGGCACAAGTGGGCAGTGTGCGGGCCAGGAACTGCCCCCAAGCAGGCCACAAGGCTGCTGGACACTTTCATCCTGGATGTCTGGGTTGGGGGTTTCTACCACGGGTTGTTTGGGCCCAAGAGGAAGGGGTCTTTAAATCTGCCTTTTCTCAGTGGATGATTTTGAGATTCATCCATGTCCCTCATTTTGTCCCCAATTAGACAGAATTCCACTTTACTGGTTTAACTGAGGTAAAACTGACACAGAACATTCAGTTTCAGGTGTACCACATACTGATTCGATACACGCACATATTGCAGGATGACCACTACAGTAAGTCGGGTTAGTACCCCTCCCACCATGTGCTTACAATGATTTTTCTCGCAGTGGGAGCTTCTGCATCACATCGGCAGAGCTGACTGATTTCATGCCACGGATTTTTATCCGTTCACCTGCTGATGTACATTTGGGAGCCCCGAGCCAAGCCCTCTGCTTCCTGGCCCCTGAAGCACCTGAGCTTCGTCGGGGGTGAAAACCTAGCTGAATGGCCAGTCACATGGGAGGGGTCTGGCTTCAAGAAGCTGTCAAACTGCTTTCCAAGCGGCAGCACCAATTTCCTTGCCCCCAGCAGTGTAGGGGGTTCAGGTTTTGCACGTCCTGGCCAGTGCTGGCTCTGATCTGACCCTTGGATTGCAGGGGTCCCTGTGTTTCCTCATGGAGACTGATACCCGGTCCCCCATCTGGGGCTCGTTGGCCCTGCCTGGCCACTGGGGAGACTGTAAGTCCAGCACCCACAACCACGCCAGGGACCCAGGCCCAGCACAGCAAAGGGCCATGATACCCTGGGGCCAGGTGCCACCCCCCTGCAGCCCTGCCGGGTCCTGCCAACTGGGTCGCCTCTCTCCGCAGCCACCCGGGAGTCTGCCTTTGTGCACGCCATCGCCTCGGCCGGCGTGGCCTTCGCTGTGACACGCTCATGTGCGGAGGGCTCCGCTGCCATCTGTGGCTGCAGCAGCCGCCACCAGGGCTCACCAGGTGAGGGCTGGAAGTGGGGAGGCTGCAGCGAGGACATCGAGTTTGGCAGCATGGTGTCCCGGGAATTTGCTGACGCACGGGAGAACCGGCCAGACGCCCGCTCCGCAATGAACCGCCACAACAATGAGGCCGGACGCCAGGTATGTTGTCGGCCCTTGGCTGGTCCTGGAGGTGCACGGGGAGTTGTCCATCAAGGCCGTGTGCCCCCAGGGGGTGGGGAAGGGGGCCATTGTACACCGGCCCTGTGGGGGCTGGGGGATGCACTCTCTGACCACATTCTTGAGGATCCTCAAGACATGGAAGATTTCTTTTTTTTTTTTTACATATAAATTTATTTTTTATTGGTGTTCAATTTGCCAACATATAGAATAACACCCAGTGCTCATCCTGTCAAGTGTCCCCCTCAGTGCCCGTCACCCATTCACCCCCACCACCGGCCCTCCTCCCCTTCCCCCACCCCTAGTTCGTTTCCCAGAGTTAGGAGTCTTTATGTTCTGTCTCCCTTTCTGATATTTCCCACACATTTCTTCTCCCTTCTCTTATATTCCCTTTCACTATTATTTACATTCCCCAAATGAATGAGAACATACACTGTCCGTCTCCGATTGACTTATTTCACTCAGCATAATACCCTCCAGTTCCACCCACGTTGAAGCAAATGGTGGGTATTTGTTGTTTCTAATGGCTGAGGAATATTCCATTGTATACATAGACCACATCTTCTTTATCCATTCATCTTCCGATGGACACTGAGGCTCCTTCCACAGTTTGGCTATTGTAGACATGGCTGCTAGAAACATCGGGGTGCAGGTGTCCCGGCGTTTCCCTGCATCTGTATCTTTGGGGTAAATCCCCAACAGTGCAATTGCTGGGTCCTAGGGCAGGTCTATTTTTAACTCTTTGAGGAACCTCCACACAGTTTTCCAGAGTGGCTGCACCAGTTCACATTCCCACCAACAGTGTAAGAGGGTTCCCCTTTCTCCACATCCTCTCAACATTTGTTATTTCTGGTCTTCTTAATTTTCCGCATTCTCACTGGTGTGAGGTGGTATCTCATTGTGGTTTTGATTTGTATTCCCCTGATGGCCAGTGATGTGGAGCATTACCTCATGTGCTTGTTGGCCATGTCTATGTCTTCCTCTGTGAGATTTATCTTCATGTCTTTTGCCCATTTCATGATTGGATTGTTTGTTTCTCTGGTGGTGAGTTTCATGAGTTGTTTATAGATCTTGGATACTAGCCCTTTATCTGATAGGTCATTTGCAAATATCTTCTCCCATTCTGTAGGTTGTCTTTGACTTATCTTGATGGTATCTTTTGCTGTGCAAAAGCTTCTTAACTTGATGAAGTCCCAATAGTTCATTTTTGCTTTTGTTTCTTTTGCCTTCGTGGATGTATCTTGCAAGAAGTTACTGCGGCCAAGTTCAAAAAGGGTGTTGCCTGTGTTCTCCTCTAGGATTTTGATGGAATCTTGTCTCACATTTAGATCTTTCATCCATTTTCACTTTATCTTTGTGTATGGTGAAAGAGAGTGGTCTAGTTTCATTCTTCTGCACGTAGATATCCAATTTTCCCAGCACCATTTATTGAAGAGTGGATAGTCTTTCCAGTGGATAGTCTTTCCTCCTTTATCGAATATTAGTTGACCATAAAGTTGAGGGTCCACTTATGGATTCTCTATTCTGTTCCATTGATCTATGTGTCTGTTTTTGTGCCAGTACCACACTGTCTTGATGACCACAGCTTTGTAGTACAACCTGAAATCTGGCATTGTGATGCCCCCAGCTATGGTTTTCTTTTTTAATATTCCCCTGGCTATTCGGGGTCTTTTCTGATTCCACACAAATCCTAAAATAATTTGTTCTATCTCTCGGGAGAAAGTCCATGGTATTTTGATAGGGATTGCATTAAACGTGTAAATTGCCCTGGGTAACATTGACATTTTCACAATATTAATTCTGCCAATCCATGAGCATGGAATATTTTTCCATTTCTTTATGTCTTCCTCAATTTCTTTCAGAAGTGTTCTGTAGTTTTTAGGGTACAGATCCTTTACCTCCTTCGTTAGGTTTATTCCTAGGTATCTTATGCTTTTGGGTGCAATGGTAAATGGGATTGACTCCTTAATTTCTCTTTCTTCAGTCTCATTGTTAGTGTCTAGAAATGCCACTGACTTCTGGGCATTGATTTTGTATCCTGCCACACTGCCAAATTGCTGTACGAATTCTAGCAATCTTGGGGTGGAGTCTATGTAAAGTATCATGTAATCTGCGAAGGGGGAGAGTTTGACTTCTTCTTTGCCAATTTGAATGCCTTTAATTCTTTTTGTTGTCTGATTGCTGAGGCTAGGACTTCCAGTACTATGTTGAATAGCAGTGGTGAGAGTGGACATCCCTGTCTTGTTCCTGATCTTAGGGGAAAGGCCCCCAGTGCTTCCCCATTGAGAATGATATTTGCTGTGGGATTTTCGTAGATGGCTTTTAAGATGTCGAGGAATGTTCCCTCTATCCCTACACTCTGAAGAGTTTTGATCAGGAATGGATGCTGTATTTTGTCAAATGCTTTCTCTGCATCTAATGAGAGGATCATATGGTTCTTGGTTTTTCTCTTGCTGATATGATGAATCACATTGATTGTTTTATGAGTGCTGAACCAGCTTGAATCCGGGAATAAATCCTACTTGGTCATGGTGAATAATCTTAATGTACTGTTGGATCCTATTGGCTACTATCTTACTGAGAATTTTTGCATCCATGTTCATCAGGGATATTGGTCTATAATTCTCCTTTTTGGTGGGGTCTTTGTCTGGTTTTGGAATTAAGGTGATGCTGGCCTCATAGAAGGAGTTTGGAAGTACTCCATCTCTTTCTATCTTTCCGAACAGCTTTAGTAGAATAGGTATGGTTTCTTCTTTAAACATTTGATATAATTCCCCTGGGAACCATCTGGCCCTAGACTTTTCTGTCTTGGGAGGTTTTTGATAACTGTTTCCATTTCCTCCCTGGTTATTGGCCTGTTCAGGTTTTCTATTTCTTCCTGTTCCAGTTTTGGTAGTTTGTAGTTTTCCAGTAATGCGTCCATTTCTTCTAGATTGCCTAATTTATTGGCGTATAGCTGTTCATAATATGTTTTTAAAATCGTTTGTATTTCCTTGGTGTTGGTAGTGATCGCTCTTTTCTCATTCATGATTTTATTAAATTGAGTCTTCTCTCTCTTCTTGTTAATAAGGCTGGCTAATGGTTTATCTATCTTATTAATTCTTTCAAAGAACCAACTCCTGGTTTTGTTGATCTGTTCCACAGTTCTTCTGGTCTCTATTTCATTGAGTTCTGCTCGACTCTCTTCTTCTGCTGGGTGTAGGATCTATTTGCTGTTTTTTCTCTAGCTCCTTTATGTGTAAGGTTAGCTTTTGTATTTGAGTTCTTTCCAGTTTTTGTATGGTGCTTGTACTGCGATGTATTTCCCCCTCAGGACTGCTTTTGCTGTATCCCAAAGATTTTGAATGGTTGTATCTTCATTCTCATTAGTTTCCATGAATCTTTTTAATTCTTCCCTCATTTCCTTGTTGACCCTTTCATCTTTTAGCAGGATGGTCCTTAATCTCCATGTGTTTGAAATCCTTCCCAACTTCTTCTTGTGATTTAGTTCTAATTTCAAGGCGTTATGGTCTGAGAATACGCAGGGGACGATCCCAATCTTTTGGTATCTGTTAGGACCGATTTGTGACCCAGTATGTGGTCTATTCTGGAGAAAGTTCCATGCGCATTTGAGAAGAATTTGTATTCAGTTGCATTTGTATGTAAAGTTCTGTATATATCTGTGAAATCCATCTGGTCCAGTGTATCATTTAAAGCTCTTGTTTCTTTGGGGATGTTGTGCTTAGAAGACCGATCGACTGTAGAAAGCGCTAGATTGAAGTCACCAAGTATAAGTGTATTATTATCTAAGTATGTCTTAACTTTGGTTATTAATTGATTGATATATTTGGCAGCTCCCACATTCAGGGCATAAATATTGATGATTGTGTCCTATCATCAATATAGATAGATCCTTTAAGTATGATATAGTGTCCCTCTTAATCTGTTACTACAGTGTTCGGGATAAACTTTAGTTTATATGATATAAGGATGGCTACCCCTGCTTTCTTTTGAGGACCATTTGAATGGTACATGGTTCTCCAACCTTTTGTTTTCAGGCTGTAGGTGTCCTTCTGTCTAAAATGAGTCTCTTGTAGACAGCAAATAGATGGGTCCTGCTTTTTTATCCAGTCTGAAACCCTGCACCTTTTGATGGGGTCATTAAGCCCATTCATGTTCAGAGTTACTATTGAAAGATATGAGTTTAGTGTCATCATGATACCTAATCAGTCCCTGTTTTTGTGGATTGTTCCATTGGACTTCCTCTTAAAGAGTAATTATAAGAGTCCCCCTTAAAATTTCTTGCAGAGCTGGTTTGGAGGTCACATATTCTTTCAGTTCCTGCCTGTCTTGGAAGCTCTTTATCTCTCCTATTCTGAATGAGAGCCTTGCTGGATAAAGTATTCTTGGCTGCATGTTCTTCTCATTTAGGACCCTGAATATATCCTGCAGCCCTTTCTGGGCTGCCAGGTATCTGTGGAGAGGTCTGCTGTTAATCTAATATTTCTCCGCATAAAACTTAGCGATTTCTTGTCTCTTGCTGCTTTAAGGATCTTCTCTTTATCTTTGGAATTTGCAAGCTTCACTATTAAATGTCGAGGTGTTGAGCGGTTTTTATTGATTTTAGGGGGGATCTCTCTATTTCCTGGATCTGAATGCCTGTTTCCCTTCCCAGATTAGGAAAGTTTTCAGCTATGACTTGTTCAAATACATATTCTGGACCTCTGGACCTTTCGGCACCCTTGGGTACCCCAATTAAATGCAGATTTTTCTTCCTCAGGCTGTCATTTATTTCCATTAATCTATCCTCATGATCTTTTAATTGTTTGTCTCTTTTTTCCTCAGTTTCCCTCTTTGCCATCAACTTGTCTTCTCTGTCACTCACTCGTTCTACCTTGTTAACCCTCGTCATTAGGACTTCTAGTTTGGATTGCATCTCATTTAATTGATTTTTAATTTCCACCTGATAGATTTAAATTCTGCAGTCATGAAGTCTCTTGAGT